TCCCTCTCTAAAAAAGAAAAAATGTTTATTAAAAAAAAAGATTATCAAATTTAAGAGCAAGTAAAACAAACAGGTAAAATTTCCAAAGTGAATACCCATTTGTAGTAATTCAGATGCCTAAAAATAAAAACAGAATTTAGTTACGAGGAGTTTTAAAATTCAGAAAATGTTCTCATAATACACTGTTTCATTTGATTCATACAACATGGGAGAAAAAAAGGGAACACAATATTTATTGAATTCTTCTCTGTGTTGAAGGCTGGGGCATTGCTGTAGTAGTAGCATCCTCATTTTAACAGATGATAAAACTGAGGCTTCTAAAGTTAATGAATATGCTCTAGCTTACAAAACTAAATAGTGAACAACCAAGGTTTTCTTTCTTCTATGCTGTCTCCACAATATCCATGCAGAGAATAATAATAACCCCAAGGATCAAAACCAGACATTATCTCTCCTCATTTTTGAAAATGGTATATATTAAAAGTAGGGCCCTACTCACTCTCTATTCACCATAGAAGGACAGTTATGCTTCACAACTCCCCCCCATATCCTAACCACAGAACAAGTGAAACCAAGCAGGAGACGTGAAACCTATGACTTAGCTCAAAGGAGAACTGAAATTAATAGTTAATGAGGCTAAGATCACTAATTAATTAAAAATACAACTTACCGATTTTCAAATTGGAAAAGCCGGCCTCAACAACTGTCAGTAGCTTTTGGGACTGATTAATCTTCTCCCTGCTCTAACAAAAGGTCTACATAAGGTACCTAGCTGGACTTTACCTCTACAAGACCACAAGAGCATTTTCTATCACAAGCACTTCCAAACCAGCCAAGCGAAGTAATTTAATTTGTTTAAGTAATGTGCCACAGTATGATGGGTCACAGAAGAAAAAAAGACATTCAAATTATAGGTGGAACACTACTGAAATGAAGATTATACCAAAAATTCCTAATAGGAAAGCTCAGTGTCTTAGATATACTTTATGTGACTAGTGTGCAGGGATAATTACTCTTGGTTTTCTTTTTGTCTCTGACCATTTTCTCTCTCATTTTTTCACCAAAACAAACTGCCTTTCACTGATATAAGCAGGTTCAGCAGGATGATTTATTTGACTGGGCGAGGAGAAGACCCTATTTCAACCTTTTCTGGAAATACACAATTATTTAGTGTAATCCTAGGCAGCAGCTATGTAAATCACGAAGTGAAACTACAGAATTTTAAGTTGTCATAAAAATTCCTACTATTTTATGATAATCAAGAAAAATGAATTGGCCAATATATCAAATTTTATTTCTTTTTTTTCCTTTGGAAACAGTTAACATTTAGCAAGGAGAACAAAGAATACTTAAGTTTCACAAAGGAAAGATGATAAAATGGAAAGAACTGAACTTACCACTTTTTAGCATGTAGAAGAAAAAAATAAAAACAAAAAAAAACCATACAATAGCAACTAAAGCAATAAATATTTAGGAATAAACGTAACTAGAAATGTCAAAAGCCTATATAATAAAACTCCTGAAAGACACAAAAGTAAACTTGAACAAATAGAAAGATATCTCTTATTCCTGGATAATTCAACATCACAAATAGGTAGTTCTCCCTAAGTTAATTTGTAAGTTAATGAAATTTCAATTAAAAATATCAAAAAGCTTTTTTATGGAATTAGTCAAATTGATGCCAAAGTTCATATGGAAAAACAAACACTCAAGAATAGCTAGAAAACACAAAAAAGGAAAGCTACAAGGGTAGATTAACTCTAGGAGACATTAAAACATACTGTAAAGCTCTATAGTTAAAATAGTGTGGTAATGACAAAGGAATATGCAAATGACCTAGTGGAACAGAATGAAAAGTCCAGAAATAGACCAAGTACATGTGGAAATTTAGCATATATTAACAATACCATCGCAAGTCACTGGAGCAAAGACAGACCTTTTAATAACTATACTGAGCAACTAACTGGTTAATGAGTTAGAAAGGATAAAATTAGATCAATTAACTCATACCATACATTAAGAATAAACTCCATAAACAGGAATAAACTTCAAATGGATCAGGATATTTAAATGTAAAAAGTGAAATCTTGTAATTACCAGGAAAAAAAATGTGGATGAATTTCTCTTTAATCTGAGGGAAAGGCTTTCCATAAGGAAAGGCTTTCTACTTATAACTTAAAATCCAGATATGATAAAAGAAAAGAACCGTATCATATGGTAGAAAAATAGAATACACAAAGTAAAAATACTACATATATCATAAAGGCTAAATTCATAATAAAAAACTGTTCACAGTTGAGAGGAAAAGGCCAAAAACCCACTTTAAAAATGGGCAACAAGAGAAAAAAGAAAAAAAGAACAATTCACATATACTCACAAAAACAAACAAAATGGACCTAGAACAGGTGAAAAGATGTTAAACTACATTCGTAATAATAATATTATAAGTTAAAACTACAGGGGCGCCTGGGTGGCTCAGTCATTAAGCGTCTGCCTTCGGTCATGCCTGGGGTCATGATCCCAGGGTCCTGGGATCGAGCCCCACATTGGGCTCTCTGCTCCGCGGGAAGCCTGCCTCTCCCCTCTCCCCCTGCTTGTGTTCCCTCTCTCACTGCATCTCCCTCTGTCAAATAAATAAAATCTTTAAAAAAATAATAAAAATAAATAAAAATAAAAAACATGACAGAGGAAACAGACAGGAAATGACATTTGTATATTTTTGATCTTTGGAACCATGCTGGTGTGTTTCACAGACTGAAAATAATTTTTTTTAAAAAAAGCCAAGAAGAACAGGAGTAACATTCTAAGAAGGGATACATACAGAAACAAATGAACCACACTGCATTTCAAAGGAATAACCTAATCACACCAAAGGAAAAAATTTTAATTAAAAAAAAGCAAGAAAAAGAAGAATTAACCAAATACGTTCTAAACAAAATCTATTGTTCTGATGCAGTGATGATAAAAATGTTTAGTAAAGCACTCTGGAGTCAGAAAGTGTGGATTCACTTGCCCAACTTTCCACCTGCTAACTGTGTGACCCTGGGCAAGTTAATTTATAATCTCTGTGCGTAGGTTTTCTTATCCAAATAATAACAGTACCAATCTCACAGAACTAATGATAAGGCTCGAATAAAACTACTTATGTAAAAATCTTAGTAAATCACTGAGGATATAACAAGAATTTGGAAAGCATCTGCTATCATCAACTACTAATCCAAAAAAAAAAAACAAAAACACTGAATGCGTGGGCACCCAGGATACACGTAATAAAAATGGAGTCCTTGTCATGAAAAAATTCGGAATTTCCTAGTTTATGAACAGTAAGTGTTCAAGGAATTTAGAATAACAAGATCCACAGGCTGGCTGGAATCATGCGAGAAATTTCATAAAGGAGCAATCTGACAAGGGTTTTTATATGTGCACAAGATTTAGATTAGCAAGAGAATGGGAGTACTAACGGAAGCTAAATAAAAGCAATGAAGCCATAAAGACCAATATATTTCAAGGATAGTAGCAGAGAAAGCTTGGAAAGCTGAGTATCTAGAGATAAGGCAACACCATGGAAGTTCCTGAACGCACTACTGAACTGGGCAGGCTTTATTTTCTAGACTATGAGGAACCATAGAATTGTGTGCAGGGGAAACAATATGACCAAAGTGAACTGTGGGGTTATTCTACTGCTGGTATGCAGAAGATCAGAAGCAGAGTCTTACTAGTGGGTAAGCCAAATAATGGTAAGGGACTGACTAGAATAGTAGTGATGAAAAAGGGAAAGAAGTTATTACAATCATCAAGGCAGTGGGGGGGGGAAAATCAATGAAGTTTGATAACAACTAGATATTAGGTATGAGAGAATAGAAAAGTCTGAATGACAAGGTGAATAACAAAATCATTAGAAGGAAAAAGCAAAAAGGAATGGGAAGGAATCATTAGA